TCACTTGACACAATGTTTATTTTATGAGTACTAGTGAGTAATGAAAAAGTCTAGAAAGGTTTGATTTTCTAGGTCTTCATTGTTCATGTACTAAAAATTTGTTGGATTTTAAAAAAGTCTGTGTTTCATCTTAGATTAGCTGAAAAATCGACTTTGTCTGTTTGACTTAGAACTTCGCACGAAGTTCTTAATGAGATTCGTTGATTATGTTACCTTTAGCTTTTCTAGTATTTCATTTCTGAAAATGTAAGTACATAAACCACATTTCCTTTTATTTTATTAAGAACTTTATTCGTGCAAAACTTGAAGTCACAACACAAATATTGATTTTCATTGTGACCTGAGGACGATCATAGCTTTCTCTTGAAAAACTCACTCAAATTTCGATATTTCAAAAACGAACATCCGTCAAACCAAACCATTCTAGACTTTCCTATTACTCACTAGTACTGATCAAACGAAGATCGTCTCGGTAGAAAAGCGACTTGACACCTAGAGAGGTTCTCTAATAAATATATCATTGAAACGAGAACGATCGATATTATTTGATATAGGAACGTTTTTTATTCGTGAACACCATTAAGTGCTGTGAACACGTGAGATTTTTCTTAGAATGGACAAATCGAAAATAAATCTGCGTAAAGATACTAGTGAAATACATCATCAAACAAGAATTGATCAGTAGAAAATGAAATCTTCAATTAGTTATTAATCGATTGGATACGAAGTACTCTTTCAATATATAATCTTCGTACAAATGTTAGATCTTTATGAAACACGATAAAGCGTTCAAAAGCCATCTCTGTCTCGTAACTGAACTCGTTTATAGTGTATTTTGCTTGTTTGTGTTGGTAATTTTCGTATACAAAAATGACGTCTCCAGACAAAATTCAACAAGCTACACTGAGCACGCCCATTTCGAGTGCAGTTTGATTAGACCATCAAGTATTTTGTACTGGTTTTGCTCATAAATATGCCCATGTTTGAAATTAACATCTAATTATGAACAAAACGGAGTACTTCGTTGATCAAAACTTCAACTTCTATTTGTCTCAAAAACTTCTTAGCTTGAAAAATTTTAAAAATATTTTTCTTTGGATTCTGATGAAAAATACATCATTTGATAGAAAATCCAATACTGCTGACAACAAACAGTCAGTTGCTTTTTATTGTTTTTCTTTCATCCTGCTTCGTTTTTCGAGAAAAGAATGAAATTACGTAATGAACACTATTTTTAGTTTGTTATCCGATGCAGTTATACTTATTAAGAAATAGACTGATATTTTGAAAGATTGTTAAAAACTAAACCATCTTTATAGAGAAAATTTAGTCTTATAGCATTTCGTTTCGTAGTAACATACCATATTTTCAGCTCAGCTAAAAAACTATGCCAGTTTTCGAAATTTCGTAACGACCAATATTATCTAAAGAGCCCAAGTCAAAGGAAAATCAATGAAACATTTTACTGGCAGTAGTTCTAAATAATTTTCATCTATAATAAAAGTTTCAAATGATTGACTTTTGCCATTGACGAGAAATATGTTACAATATGAAAAAATGTAATTCCTTAAAGATTGGTCACATCGAGATGCATTTCTTTTAATTTCTGCATCACTTCAGTACAGCAGATTAATTTCCTAATGTCAAGAAATGGCATCTATTTAAATTTCTTTCATATATTTTTAACTGCGTAATTTTTGCAAAATAAGCTTTTTCTTCCAAACGATGAAGACACAAACACAGTTCGAAATTAGTCAATTACTTTCTGTCCTTACCTATGAGGCTTGTTTAACTAGCATAACAATTTCTTCTATGATGAATGCAAATTGTAATTTATTTATTTCTAAAAAATCATGTTGGCGGGCTTTTATTTTTTTTTTTCAAGATAACAAAAAATAATGTGTACTACTAATAATAAAAGTCACACTGATAGAATGTTGTTTTTTTTTTGTTAAAAATTTTAAACGATTCAGGTCGTCACGTTGTGTCCAAAAGAAAGAAGCAAGCAAAGAAACAGAAATGAACGATGATTGAACTTTTGTATGAGTTTTTGACGAACGAGTCTTAGAACTGTCGATCCATGAAATTGTTCTCAAACCTATCCTTCACAACGTTCAGTTCTTCTAACAAACGAATGAGTTTGTTGTATGCATTTCTGCCTTGTCGGACTATTTTATCTTTGACGTATTGGAAGAAAAATGTGCGTTTATAGAACGTGAATGAATCGCTTTCAATTAGACTATTCGAATCTATATACAAGGATCAAATAATAAAAATGCAATAAAACTTCTCGACTGTGAGCATCATCGAGATCATTCAAACATGTTCACATAAAGAGGTGTCCACTTTAGAAAGTTGAAGTATGATTTGCTGTGAAATGAAGAAAAGGTTCTAGAAAATCTGCATCTATATTTGTCATAGATAAAGGCTAGACTACCTATTCACTTTTGTTCATTTCTTTTCAGCTGAACGATTTAAATTGAAAAATTTCTTAAATACAATATAAAATCTAATCGTTTTTGAAAATAATCTTCTAATATTATTTGTCTTTTCGCGTTTTAACTAATATTTGTTGTGGATTGACACTTTTGAATGTTCGTCTAACATTTTGATCTATTTCATAATCCTTTAAATATTCTGTTTTATGCTTTAGAATACTTGATACAAAAGTGAGTAAGATATTTTATGTTTGATTCAATTTATGCTGTAATAAATCGTTACTATCTTTATTATCATGAATTAATACTTTTTTCCTTGTCAAGTAAGCTCGTGTCATGATGCCATTCTTCGCTTTACACGCAGCACAGCGGTCAAATCATATACAAAATGCATTTACTCTTAGTATATACCAAAAAGGTAACAGAAAAGAGAAACAGGTAAAAAAACAAGTTCAAATTAGAAAGGTTATCATAGCAAAAGAAACAGCAAAAAAAGTGTTCCCTGCCCAGGCGAAGGGGATATTCATATTAGAGAGAAAGTCACTTATACCAAAAACCGCTTCGTCGGATTCGAGACTGTTCATAATTAGAAGGTGTTCACTAGGAGAGATTTTACTGTATATGCAGACTTTAGTAATTGCTTCCAAGGACAATTTTCACATGAATAGAATAAATAATTTTGTTTCCGATAAATTAAATAACTGAGTTTATTATATATCAACAATGTTTTTATATCCCATGTTAATATGAATACTTCAACATAGCATCACGTTCTCTTTTTAACTTTTCAGTCTGCGCTAATATTTCTAATCATCACATGTCTACATAATTCTGCATATGTATGTCGATATGTTGAAAACCATGTAAAAAAAAAATATGCTGATAAATGTTTTTTTCTTCTTTTCGTAACGTGGCTTATTGTTCTTACTATCGAAAAGCAAAAGACACGAACATGTGCATTTTAAAAAAATGCCAAAAAAGCAAAGAAATAGGATAGAAAAAAAAGCAGACACATCTGTTGCTACTTTATTTTATTTTTAGTAGTATAAAAATGGTTATGCGAGAGGAAGAAATGAAATAAGACAAAAGAGAAATGTATCAGATAACGACTTTGGTTTAGTCCTTTAATCATATATGATTTTAATGATTTAAAATATCTATTCGGCACGTTTATACCAGCGACGAGCTGTAACATCACCAGCTTTCATGTCCTAGAAAATATATAAGAAAATAAAAAATATTTTATTTACTAAATAAATAACAAGAAAAAACATACAATTTGTTGTTGTCCTTGATCATCAACATAACGTACGATTGTCGATTCTTTACCATGCTTATCCCGCATTGTATGAACCCATTTATCATTTTCAAATTTGATAACAGACTATTGAAATAAACAAAAAAGAAGAAAGGATACTCTTTACATTTTTTTAGATAGCATAATCAACTAACTTTAACATTTTCACCATCGAGACGAGTTTCATCGAATTCAACACCAGGTGTAAATTCATAATGTGCCGATTTAAGTGTTGATTCACTTTTGAATGACCATTTACCGTCGTGTTCTCGAATGATTAATTTTGGTTTAATTAATTTAGCTGATTGACGGAGAGCAAAACCAACACCCTTTTAGAAAAGAAATAAATATTCAATATCTAATTATTCAAAATAAGAAAATCTGCTTACTATCTCTTTCATATAATCATCGAAATGTTCACCATCAACATATTCCCATGTACCTTTAAGTTTTTCAATACCGCTGGTAGCTGCCATGTTGTTTTAATGAATAGTCTAAAAAAACAGATTTGAATGTGAATATATTACTATCAACATAAATTTCACAATGAACTTACTGAATCAACAAGAAAAGTTATGCTTGCAAATATGAAAAGACGAGGTAATGAGTGAATGAAAAAATATAGCCACGTCTTATTTTATATATAGTGATATCTTCTATGAGAGAATAAGAGAAGGAGAGAGAGAGACAGAGAAAGAAAATGAAATACCAATCGTGTTGTATAGAAGCATTTTTTTTCTTTGTTAAAATAGAAGGAGAGGATGCAAACATGTTGTGATGGCGATATATGGTTGGATGAGCCTCGAAAGCTTTACGTACATATTATCATTTACCACTAAATAGAATGAAAACAATGTTGGGTTTCTTATCGTCGGAGTCTCGCGATTATTCGCCGAGGAATCTGTATTATTCATCGAATGAAAGAGAAACATAGACATCCGAATTTTTTTCTTCGTAAACGAAATGCATCAAAGAGCGAAGCATCTACTTTATAATAGTGATAACTACTATCTTATGATAATTTAGTTTCATTCATATATTGACCCATTTTTTAACCTTGGATCAAGGTAAATCAATCTAATAGAAAATGATAGTTGCATAGTTCTATTGTCTTTAATAATATTTTAATTCATGCAAGAAAAAAATATTCTATTCGTTGTTAATCCGAAATTTTTTTTTTTATTGTTTATTTAATTTGAAAAAAAAAAACAACAATCTTTTGTTTTATTTATTTCATGATTAAAAATGAATATGAAAGTATCAAGTTAATTATTCATATGAAAAAGTGCATATTGAATAAATTTTTCCCATGATGAATAATTCAATTCTAATTGTTCACAATAAATTCCATAACATGAACGTTTTTGCTCGTAAAAATGAATTGCTTTATCAACATTTTCTAATAAAACTTTTGGTAAATGGCGATGAAGAATTGACTAAAAATTAAAAAAAAAAAAAACTTAAAAAAAAAAAGAACAAAAATTTCACAATTTTTTACTTGAATTTGTTCAGTATTAAATGGAACTAAAAATATATTTCTTTCTGACACAGGTACTTGTAATAATAATTCAAGAAGAATAATACCCGTAGCAATTAAATGAAATATATCATATTGTATATTTAATGCTGGAAAAAAAATAATTTGTTAGTTTGTTGTTGTTTTTTTTACCTCCGAAAAAAAAATAATTTTATCTTACCAAAAGAACTAAAACCTTGTTTATTTAAATATGTTTTAAGTTCGTCGAAATCTTTCATATTAATAGATAATAAATTCGCTAAATCTTGATTTAAATCAAATGATCCATTCGTTAATTGAATTCTTTTTAATTCATTCATCATCATCGAAGTTAAATCAAGTTGTTTCATTTTATTAAATGTTGAAAAACCTTGAAAAATTTCTGTTTCACCAGTAAAATTAATCTTTTCATTTGTAGTTTCACCTTTTAGCTAAAAATATTTTTATTTTTTAAAAGACATATCATGAGACTATCGAGTATACGAGACACTGAATAAAAAAAAGAATATTTTCTTTTTTTTTGTGCATTCAATTCGTCGATGTTTGAAATCACTAGTCTCAAATTTTTAACTTCCAATACCCTTTCTTTATAAAAAGTTAGTCAATATCGACTTTTTACCACTATAATATCCTTATAGAAAAAAAAACAAAGCAGAAAATGCCTTGTAAAAGTCGTGCTAGTTTCGACGAATCATTCGAGTTTTTTTGAATAAGTTATACTAAAAGCTAGACATTAAAAACTGAGCGAAGTTGCTTATTTCAATATAATATAATATCGATCAAGTCAAGTTTTACACGGTCAACATAAATGAAAAATGGTTCTTTCGAATGAGTATGATATGTCCTCTTGATAACGATCTATCTTCTATTGGGATCAGTAATCTCAACCGAATCAAGCTATTTGATAATGCGATTGAACAGTAACTTCTTTATTAATCTTAAAACGCGGGCAACAAAATTCACTTCAATATAGGGTTCATGCGCTCTCTGGCTTGTACTTGTGCAAACTGTATCCATCATTTAGTCTGAAAAGTCCACTATGATCTATTCCAAAATATTATGTATGTGAATTCGATTGTGTCCCGAACGTACCATTTATTTTTAAATATTAATTTACTGTTTTGTAGAGAATAAAAATTTGTATGACATTAATAAAATTTAGCTTGAAATTCTTTGATTCTGAATCTCGACAAGAGATAGATTATGATAAAGTGGATATTTGAGACTCATCAATTAAACTATCTTTCGTTCATGTTGACTTTATAAAATTTGACTCAATCAAAACTGTATGATTATATTAAATAGATCATTTTGTTCAGTTTTCCTTTTTCTATGTTATAGTATAATTTAGAAAATTTTGAATGATTCGTTGAAACTGATACAGCTTTTGAAGAACGTTTTATGTTACTTTTTTTCTACAACGATATGATGATGGTAAAAACTCGATATTGAGTAGTTTTCCAAGGAAAGACTATTGAAAACTAAAATTCTAGAGTTGATATTTTCAGAAATCGACATATAGAATATTTCGTACAACTTGATTATCTCTTAATTTCTTTCTTAATAACTTTACCAACCATATATAATGAATCATTTGGTTGTCGATCATGAACACATACAGCATGAAAATCTGGGTTACTTTCTACATATGAAAGATGTCGTTCAATATCATTTTTATTACTTGAATCTATATAATAAATCGAAACTAGCTAAGAAATTTTCATTTTAATTAAGAAATATCCTTACAGTTTTGTGAATCAATTGCAAATTTAACTTTAGCACCTGATCGTGATTCTTCAGCTTCAACTTGTAAGAAGCCATTGCAATCCGCATCCATACAAATTGATATTTCTAATGTTTGTGAAGCGAAATTTTGTGACAAACCAGTAAGTGTAAATTCACCAAGAAATGTCTAAAAAAGCAAAAAAAAACATGAATTAAGATAATAATTTTTGATTTCATATACTATTTTAAACTAACATTATATTTTGTAAGTTTATGTTCACCACTGAAAACGCGAATTGTAGCTGTTGTTTGATAAGCATAAGCATTTGTAAATACAGAATAAAATTGTGTTCGAAATGGAATTATTGTATTACGTTCAATAATTACACACATGTGGCCATTAATGTCTTCAATACCCAAACTGAGTGGTGTAACATCAGCTAATAATACAGCTATTTCGTCCGTTTTAGGAGATGACTTGCTTTTTCGTGTCTTCCTAAAATACAGTTAAATTTATGTGTTATTTAGTGCAATATATAGCTATTATTTCAAAGACGTACTTCTTTAAAGCCATCAAATCTATGGCGCTTGATGAATCAGAATACAATTGTTCTGCAGTCGACGTTACCATTGAATCCCTTCTTTGTTCATCGCATCGTATCTATAATAAGCAATAATTTATGCAGATGATCAAAGCGTAATTCTATCTGTACATACATCAGTATACCGTATGCATGACATAGAAGATTCAT